GATTTGTCGAACCATCATGCTGAACCATGCTAAGGGACCTATAGGTAATTTTATACGCCTACAGCAAGTTTCTCAAATATCGAGACCCTTTGTGAAATGGTCCTGGGGTAGCTACATTTTGATAATACTACTTGATAGATCACCCACATGGACAGTGAGAGTTGGTTTCTCGGACACCCTCCTTTTGGGATTTGTTCACACCCCTAGCCTTATGGTGCAGCTCATTAGAGTAATTCATCGCTTGTTGATGGGTGCCCCAAGTATAACTTTGTCTTTTGATGGACACGTCTTCTTTTGGGGATGAAGAACCTTGTTGATATTCTCAGGATGATTTGTTGTCACTTTTGAACAATCCAAGATTGCATCAGGAGTCCCATGTTTAGGACCATCTCCTTGCGAGTGTGGAACCTTAACGGGCTCTTGGGTTTCAATATGAACCCCTAGGCAATCGATGCCAGGAGTCCTCTTGTGCACGGCCCACGAACATGTACAATGAGGTACCTAGGTTTGTTTGGAGGTGGAGGGATACGTTTGAGCAGCCTTTGGCTTGACGGGAGTGTTTGTACGACCCCCAGACTAAGGAACTACTAGGGTTTTGTTCACCAAAGCTTTGCCTCGATCTTTATGCAAAGGACCAAGACAGTCTGCCATTGTATTGAATTTTGATAGGTCAATGCTGCCGTGATACTTCTCCGGAGGTACGAGATCAACTGGAATAGGAATGAGGCTTGACGGAAGTGGAGAAACTACAACGTGAGGCGAATTAGGCGTGGGACACCTTGAGGTGACTCGGGCTTGGCGCGAGTCACCTTAGAGTGACCCGCACTTGGTCGAGTCAACCTAGAGTGACCCGCTCTTGGTCGAGTCATCCTGAAGTGACTCAGAATTTTTGATCTTTTCGGCCACTGTCAGAGTTGTTTTTTTTGCTATTTTGGACTTTGGCCTCCAGACATGGCATGGTTTTGGTAGTTGTTTAGCCACCTCTTCCTTCTTCATGCCTTGTGTCTTTTGCAAAAGGGTGAGAGTATGTACGGCATGTGCACGACGCCTTTGGATACGCTCCTTCTGAGTTGAACGATTCCTTTTAACAAGGATCCATTCTTCCGTCGATGGCTTGGAGGATTTATCAGCAATACGTTGTTAAACTAATTCGGTTGTTTGACGCCTCCTAGAGTCTAAGTTTGCATAATATTGAACCCCGTCAACTTGTTCTAATGCCTTGGCGATTTGATGAGCTTGGCATTAGCATCGCCTCTGATGAGCCCTCTTCATAAGAGTTAGCAAACTTTGATTAGATAACTCCTTGATTGGAGAGGAGTCACTTGTATCCTTCATCAGTGAATACGCCTTCTTCAAAGACAATATCTTTCTGCATTTGTAAGGAGAGGAGGATTTTGATGAAGACGGAGAAAAATATTCCTCGAATTTAGCTTCGTCGAACTCATACTCGACCGTTGAATTAACCGGGATCTTGATCTTTGGTTACGACACGATAGTCTCGACAGTTAAGACTATTGGCTCCTATTGTGGTCGCCAGCGTGTTTACGTCAGAAATTGATTTATTTGCTGAACCCATTATAATGTTTATCATTTACACATATTCAAATGAGTTTTAGCCTTTCTATAAGACTTCTCTTTTACAAATAAATTATCAAAACAATCTCCTAGAAACATACGCAGAGGACGTTTATCACCTGCTGCTTGCATGGGATCTTTGCCTGTGCCAGGATGTTGAATCCATGGACCACCGCGAATTAGATTCAGTTGATGCACGAAGGCTTGATGTTCGTTGCTTCACAGAGGAAGCAAGAACGGAAGTAAATAATCTCAACAAAGTGAGATCACGGCTCTTCTCAAGATCAGTATAAATTCTAACCTCAAAGGATGGTGGAACGGGCCTCATATCCTTTGAAAAGCTCCCTCTTTATGCTGGAGTTCGCCAAGATCTACTAGCTTCTCTGTAATTCATGAGATTTTACTCTCTAAACTGACAGCACCTCGCCCTCCTCTCAGAATTTCTGATCCCTTATGTGTAGGGGCCCTAGGCTTGTAAAATTACATGCTTCGAATGTAGCGTTTTAAGATAGAAATTGATGATTTGACATCATTGTTAGCCAACAATGGCTTAACAACATTTAAGGATAGCCTCAAGGCAGTTGGAGAGGCTTTGGAATGAAAGAATCTCGAAATTCTACCGAGAAACATATTTTCAGGAACCTGAGTATGCGGGTCACTTCAATGTGACCCACACAGGTGCGGGTCACTACAATGTCACCCCACACCAGCAGGTCACTTTGATGTGACTCGTAGGTGGCGATGCCCCATTTTGATCTTGTTTTGTTGTTTTGTATGTTTTTTGATGTCTTGTATGCATTCCTTCATTTCTTCTTAGCCTCGGATGATCTCCTTTGACTCAGATGATGATGTTAATCGCCTTCGCTTCATCTCGAGCTGTGTACGGGAACCTATAGGTAATTTTTGACGCCTACATGCAACTTCTGATCAAACTTCAACCATATATTAGTTGTCATTTTCTCCATCTTCTTATCCACTCCTAGCAAAGCTTGATGTAGATCATGTTGAATCAAGACCGCCTCCATCATTTTCCACTAAAGCCCAAAATCCCTCTTAGCATCGAATTTCTGAAAGTCGGTTTTCATCATCAAAAAACTTTCTAATTCCCTACAATAAAAATTAAACATTTCTTCAACAATAAGTCTAAACTAATCAAAATTTAATCTAATATCAATTATTCTATCACATGACACTTTGATAGCAATTGTTGCACATGCAACCTACAATCCGGCACTGATCATTGTGCACAAAATAGCATTCAATGCAGAAGCGTAACTTAAAGAAGCATCACAAACACTCGATTAGATCTCCTCTTTTTCATAGATCAATCAATCACTGAGCAATATAAAAACTCCAAGAAACTACCAGTTCAAACAAAATGGAATAACAGTATGTAATGGAAAATAGAACAAGAGTAAAGACACTGATTTTACATGGTTCGGCAATTACCTATGTCCCTGGGAGAGATTTGAGTCTTCTTTATATTAGATATTACAAGAGATAATATATTTTTGTGATTTATAAAAGTTCTGCCGGAAACTCTTTCTCAATCTTACCAAATGATGTCTCAAACTCTAGATTAATCTCTCTTTAGTTCTCTCTACTTCTTTTTTACAAATATGTAGCTCTTCTTTGCTTGGAGTAAACTCTAGAACTTATGAACAACTTCATTTAAACAGTACAACACCTAACACAAAAGAATTCCCAAAAAAATTCAATCCAAATCTAACTTGAACTAGATTTTGAGCAAGTTTAGCTCACGGACCATCGATGCTAAATGTCGGTAATCTCCAATTTGGTCCTTAGTTGTCAACCGTCTTTGCCTGTTTGTGAATCCATTATTGTTTTCATCGCTATTCAGATACCTCTTCTTCTATCTTCTTTTATCGTCGTCTTATGCACTGATGAATATGACTATTGTCAATAGGTTAAATATAAGAAGAAGCCCTTAACTTTGGATGATTATTTGATAACCCTTATAATTTTAAAAGATTAGAAAC